AACTAAGTCAGAATCAAAGGGATTAAGGGCTTATGGCTTTGTGAGAAGCCTAAAGACATGAAACGAAGAAGAAAACGTTGTCGTTATGTCTTGAACTCTTAGATTATATATGTTGATATAATTGTTGGTCTAAAACAGATTGTGATTGTGATGCTTGTGGACCTTGAGCTAGTGTGGACCTTGGCTTGGATTGTTAGCTTGCGAGGTAAGCTTTCGTGTCCTCGGTTTAGCAATTGTTGGTTCCACCATACCCCATGGGGGGATGGTTTATATGCATGATGTGTTTTAATGTATTGATATTTGAAATGTTGTTGAGCTGTTATGTGCAAGTGCTTCATGATATGCATGTGTTGTGCTACCTAGACGGTAAGCCTGAGAAATTACAAATATTAAATACGAAGAAGAAAACTAATTTAAAATATAAAATTATACCTGAACACAACATGTCTCTGTCTCACCAATTGTATCAGGTAGTCGAATACTCATTGTTGGAGTATTGGGATACTTTATGGGAAGAAAGTATTTGATTACCCTTGCAGAAGTATTTGAATAATTAATAGTATTTGAATACTTGGGGTTTGGTATTCGGATACCTTGTGGTATTCGAATACTGGAGTGAAAGTATTCGGATACTTTCTGGAGAGCTGGAGTATTCGAATACTACTCATGGAGTATTCGAATACCTCCTGCAGAAATAGCATGTAATGAGTTAAAATGAGTAAGAAAGACTTAATCACTTAGTGTAATCTGTGTTATGATTATTGATGATTAATTATGGTATGGGCAGATTGTGATTGTGCTATTTATGGGCCTTGAGATAGTGTGGACTCTTAGCTTGGATAACTAGCTTGCAAGGTAAGCTTTCGTGTCCTCGGTTTAGCCATGTTGTGGTTCCACCATGTCCCATGGGGATATGGTATACGCATGCTGTGTTACATGCTTTTGATGTTTTGGAAATGCTGTTGAGCTGTTATATGCTAGTGCCTTGTTGATATGCGTGTGGTGTGCCACCTATACGGTAAGCCTGAGTATGTAGTACATACAATAGGGTGAAGCTGTGGGTGAGGTGTGTAAACACCATTTTTTTTGTTATAATTATTATTATTATTATTATTATTATTATTATTATTATCTCATTTGTTCTTCAAGTAAAATTCATTGAACCCTATGTGTTTTTGGTACGTGATGATACTTAAGCATTTGTACCCTTGTTCTCTAAATTTTGTATTCATGCTACCATTACCATTCTTCTAAGTTTTCTTTTTATTTTATTTTATTTCCTATTCTGTGTGTGTTTTAAAAAAAAAATACAAAACCAAAGTAATCTAATCGATGGGTATTTTATGTATCTGTTTTCCACTATAGATTTCAAGCATATTCACAGGAAAATATAGAGAAATATTATATGACATTTGTTGGTCGGTAAAGTGCTGAATAATAGTGGGGGCAACAATGGTGAAAATTGTCCAATTCAACACTGATAAAGCTGTAAATCTCATCCGTAAAAATTGCTAAATTCAGCTTATGGACACCATCCTTATCTTATCCAGAAAAAGTAATAAACACAAGAAAGGAAATTTCAGAAAGTTGAAAAATACATGTTCAGTAAAGATGGCTACAAGTTTCATCTGTCGACACCTCTGTTGAAGAAGACAAACACCTTACCTGCATATACAACAAGAGAATCAGAGTTGTCTGTACGCCGAGAGCAAAATAATCAGAGTTGATTTGGGTTTTAGCCTAAATAAGCCATGACAAGAAAGTAGGAGAAAAAGATAAAGGATTCAACACAAATTTTACAAGCGTGGCACAGGAAATACAAAGAGGGAGGGTGCTGCTAGCAACAACGACAAAAAAAAAAAAAAAAAAGGAAGAAAGAAGGGAACAACGGAGGGAAAGATGAGATAGGAGTAAGAGTTTGCAATCCATTGTGCTAAGAATATTGGAAGAAAAAAAGTAGAGAGTATAAACACCAGGAGAAGGAAGGAGGAAGAGGGCTTTTTTTTGGAGAGCTCACATACCATAAGGCAGAGTCTTTTGTTTCTAAAAAATAATGGAGACAACGTAAAGAGAACATTCACCACTGTCTTGTAGTCGATCTTCACCAGCACACCAAACAAAGATATCAAAAGAGAAGTAAGAAATATTTGATTTGGCTGGGTTTGTTCACGCTTTGGGTAGGTGAGTTTCCGCAACCCCTTATTATAACTTACTTACTGTCTTCAGAAAATGAATATTCGAGACAATGGCTGAATAGTGTGAAGCATCTTTTTCAAAGGATAAAATTATTGGTTTCAACACACCCACCACCATTCTTCTTTTCCTATAGCCATATGCTGGAACCCCAAGCCTCATTATTTTTGTCCTAGTTCTTCGATGAACCACGTCTCGAAAACCCTGCTCCTTATTCACTTGTAAAACATTTCATTATTTTATTGCTATTTTTTATTCCCTCTGATTTATGTTTAAAGCATAGTGGTATGACACCTACTACTCATAGTAGTTGTAGGTTACGTAAGCTTTTATTTGGTGTTTTACTTTGCTTTGCCTTTTCAACCCATAAGTTAAATATTATATATTGCTGTCTTTGGGAGTTGACATAAAGAAGAGTAGATAGCTAGTACTCACTGCCATATAGCTGTAGAGATGTCTGCATGTCATGACAAAATTTTTAAAATCATATAATGGGTTGGTCCTCTAAATAAGCATTTGTTCATAAGTCCCCAAACATATTTATTTTTGAGGTATATTCCATTATCCTACACATTTATTTTTATTACAGCGAACTCCAAATTGGAATACTGGTACATTTTTTTTGTTTTGTTTTATTATCATTTTTATTATGACTAAATGCATTTTATTAATTAATGTTAGGAATAGAGAACATATAAAGAGTCGTTGTGGCCTGGGAGGTGATAAATGAATTTAAGCTTTTTAACTATAAGATGTTATTACACAATTGGGTCCACATTATTTTAGTGCTGAAGTACAAATATAACTAAGTAAATGTCATTAAGATAGTAAATTGACATGATACTTGCAGGCTGAACGTTTTTTTGCGGACAAACATATACAATTTTTTTTTTGTTTTTGTCTTTTTTTCTAAGTGTGTGATTCTTGTTTTAACAATTCATCATCGTTTCTTTTATTTAAATATAATGCTTGTTCTTACATCTGTGTAGTTCTTGTCGTCTCCACTGAAAAGAATATTATTCGCTTATTTAATTTTGTATTAGTCACGTGTTGAATATTTCATTGTTCTGTTTACCGATTTGGTATATTTTTATTTGTTTCGCTATTTCGCCTTAACACAATTTAAATTTAAATTTAAATTTTATTACAATATTTTAGGAGGGTGATTTGGCCGTGACGGCTTGTTAATCCTACTGTAGTTTTGTTCAGGATCATTTTAACCGTGACGGCTTGATGATTCAGGACTCGTTAAATTTGTCATATTTTTATATCAATTTAAAACATATAATAATGTTAAAATTACACATAAGGGTGATTTAGCCGTGACGGCTTTGTTTAATCCTGTGTATTTGGTTAGGGATCATTTTAACCGTGACGGCTTGATGATTCGTAACTCATTAAAATTATCATATATTGTTTTTATATTAATTTAACCTTAAAATCATTTAAAGGGGGTAATTTAGCCGCGACGGCTTGTCGATCCCATACTCTTTTGAATCATTTTAGCCGTGACGGTTTGGTGATTCAAAATATATTATAAAATTTATACTAATAAAAAAAAATTATTGAAATCGATACAAATTATCAAAGCCTAAACTTTCCAATGATTTTCCTCAAAATTATTTTTAAAAATTAAATTCAATCAATACACAAGCATTTTCTTAAGAACGACGTAGCTTTGAATTCCTCACTGTACCGGAGGATACGTCGGAGCGGAACTCTTTCCGTCAAGCTAAAAATAAAATTTTAATAATTTAGTTTCCTCACTTCCTGAGTAATTATATTATTTTTTAAAAGGGATTAAGCAAATATTTTTAAAAGCTATTAATAACTCGCACAATTAATTCAAGGTAACCGTTTTTAAACGGATGTGTCAGGGGTGCAGTGGGATTAAGTTTTCACCCTTCCTTGAGCATAATTAGACTCCCGAACCTTTGATCTATAATTTTAAAGACCAGTTTGCAATAAAAGGTTTTCCAATTTTTCCAAAGTAAATAAAATTGGTGGCGACTCCATTTATTTTAATTCTTTAAATTTCGGGTCGTTACAGATGGCGACTCCACTGGGGACTTTAGAGAGTCAAGCCTGTTTTAATTATTTGTACAAATTCGTAATAGCTTTTATATATTTGCTTTACTTCCTTTTCGTTTATTATGTTGTTTATCTTTGTTGTTATATTTTGACATCTATGAGGATTGGGTTCAACTTTAGAAAAGATGATTTTTGTATTGTTGTACGCTTGTTCTTCAATTGTTTTGCAGATTGGGTAGTTTTAGATTTATGTGAAGGTTTGTATGCTCCCTCCACACACAACACCTACACGTTGATCACACACTATGAGTGGGGCCCTATACCCGGGTCTGAGTGAAACATAAGATAGGCTAGAGGTTGTGTAGTGGTAGCCATTTTGGATGTACGTCCTGTTTGGTTATTGCGAAAACCTCATCTAGAGTGTAACTCTTTCATTGTGCACCACATCTGTTAGTTCAACTATCGTTGTGGTCAACACTTTGAATTGAGATCTTAGCTCTAGAGACCAAAATTGTTAGGATCATAGAACTACCTTACGAGAGTTTGTCACTTGATAGAACAACCTATTGATTTATAAAACTAAAGTCATCCAGTTTAGGATTAACCACTTTAGGACACAAAGGGAGCGTATTTCCTTCTCACTCTTTACTTCCATTCTTGCATCATTCAGCATTTTTAGCATCTCACATTGCCCATTTTGAACTCTTCCAGGGAACTTTGTTAGAGAAACGTTGATTTCCAGAGCTTGATTGTGAGTATCATTGATGGAAAATAGTATGGGATCACATCACGAGGAGGTGATACCACCCACATTGAAAAAGACTTTGCACCTGAAAGCAAAGAAGCCTGATACTGAAAGTTTGAAGGTTTTGGGTCGAACGTTGAAGAAAACACAACGTCTTACTCTTGCTAGAAAATATGGGGAAATTCTAGATCTATTAGAAGTTGATGTGCAAGTAGATGCAATCACTGCGGTTGCTCAGTTTTATGACACACCTCTGAGATGTTTCACTTTCCGAGATTTCCAATTGGCACCTACTTTGGAAGAATTTGAGCAAATTCTTGGCTTATCATTAGAAGATTTTGAGAAGCCATACCGCTACTTGGGGCACTACCCTTCTATGCATGCTATTGCTGACGTGTTAAAAGTTCCTGAGAAAAGCTTGCAAAAAAAAAGACAAAATAGAAATGGGACCGATGGATTTTCAAGAAAGTACCTGGAGGAGCACCTTCGTCACTTAGCTGAAATTGAAGACTGGGAGGCTTTCATTGATGTGCTAGCTCTCACCATTTATGGTATCCTCATGTTCCCAAATGTTGACGAGTTCGTGGACTTCGCAGCTATAGATGTCTTCTTTGCTCGCAAGTTTAGAGGTGAAAATCCTGTTCCTGCCATTCTTGCTGATGTCTACTATACTCTAAATTTTTGTTATGAGAAGAAGGGCAAAAGAATTTTGTGTTGTTTACCAATGTTATTCATATGGCTCACTGCCCATGTCTTCAAAGAGGATACGAGATCTTATACCCCATCACTGAGTTTCAAAGATATCAGTTAAAGGCTAAAAGTGGTCATGAATGGACTCAAATTTTAGCACGATTGGATGAAAAAAGTGTCCGATGGTATCCTCGATGGGTTGAAAGAGAAACTTTGATCTACCAATGCGGTGATTTCCCTAATGTGCCTCTCATGGGTACCCGAGGGTGTATCAATTACAACCCATCCTTGTCACAACGACAACTCGGTTATCCTATGAGAAGAGCTCCCACGGAAGACATGATAGCTCCTTTCATTCTTTATGATATGAGCTCTGCACGTAATGAGTTACTTAAAAGAGTTCGAGATGCCTGGGATAAGGTCATTCGAAAAGGAAAGGAGTTGAGGATTAAGAGTTGTGGAGTCCAAGATAGCTATCAGCAGTGGGTTAGGTGTCGAGCACAAGAAGTAAAGCTACCATTCCAAGTTTTGACATTCACCACAAATGTTGAATCATCAATGTCTGCCTCACGACAGTGAAGAGATAAGAGAAATACAAGAAAAACTGATGAGGGTCGAAGAAGAGAGGAAGAAGATAGAAGAAGAGCTTAAGGGAGCTAGACAAAAGTGTGAGGCCTTGGAGCGAGAAAATAAGAGGAAAAATCATACCCTTGAGGAAGCTGATAAAAGAGCCAAGATCGAGGAAAATTATGTGCTAAAAACTAAGGGGTGCCTTCGTGCAGCAAACAAGGAGTTAAGCCTTCGAAGACAAGAAAGAGATGAGGCTATTGCTAAAAGCACTCAACTTGAAGAATTACTAAGAAATTCTAATGCAGAGCACAAAGAATCAAAGAGGCAAATGGCAGAGATGAGGGGGCTAATGGAGATGAGAGTTGTAGAATATGAAGACAGGCTAAAAAGAGAAAAACAATGTACAGAGAAAGTGATTGCGATGTACCAAGACTCGATTCGAAGAGAGCAAGAAGAAGTACAAAGGCTAACTGATTACATCGGAGGGCAAGATGAAACATCGATGCATATAGGCATGAAGTGGCGTTCTGGATGACTCGCTTTTCCAAATTGGCTGAGCTCGCTAATGATGCAATTGAAGACATCCCGGATAAGTTGGGAATGGCAGAGGCACTGGTGAACCCCCTCACTACTCCTGTGGAGATTCAAGACTTCATTGAGTATTGTAGAAATTATATTATGAAAATGAAACAGATTATCATCAGGCGAATGTAAAAGCAATGTATCCCTCTGAGACACTTGTACTATGCCATGGTTTGTAATGAAGACATTTTGTTTGCTACCCGTTTGTGATCTTGTACTGACATTTAATGGGACCTAGTACTTTCGAACGTGACGTTCCGGGGAACGGTCCTAACAAAAACGATCAATGATACTCACGTCAGACTTACACGCATCAACGATTCTCCGACAAACTTGAAACATTAGCATTATTATTCATTATATTATTTATTTTTAATTTTTTTCAAATTTAATTAATATCACTTGCAGAAATCATATAAGATTCAAACATTGCGCGACCAAAGAAAGGTAATACCAATCAAACCCGAGTTCATAATACCAGATCTCGGACCAGAATGGCAGCAAGCGATCAAGATGGGAGGAACATAAGTCAGGAAGTAGACGAGGTAAGAGAAAGAATGAATACAATGGAAGAATTGTTACGAGCTATGGCAGTATCCATCAGTATGCTTGGGGCAAATGGGGCCGCAGGGAATGCGCAACAGCACTCAACAACTCAGCCGGGCGATGCCCAAGGGAATAACGGGATGGGAAACGCAAACGGGCAACCGCATATTGGTGAAGGATATCAATCAGTGGAGGATGCCAACGCTGAAGTACATGGACAAGCTGGGCAGAATGGACAGGCAACAGGGACCCAATTTGGGAATGGCCGTGTCTCTGATCAGAAGGACAAGGTAAAGGATGGATGGATGGAGAAGATGGAAGAGAAGATCAAAGCTATTCAAGGTCCTAGTGCTTACGGATCTCTTGGGGTGGAGGAATTATGCTCCGCGACAGACGTGATTATCCCTAAAGATTTCAAGGTCCCAGATTTTTCTAAGTATGATGGAAGTACAAACCCAATCATCCACCTGAAGACGTACTGCACGAAAATGGCAATATGGTCCAAGGATGAGAATTTCCTTGTTAGTTTCTTCCATGAGAGTTTGGCTGGTCCTGCATTAGAGTGGTACATCCAGATGGATCATTCTAAAATTGGTTGTTGGAAAGACTTGGCAGATGCGTTCATGAACCAATATCGATTCAATTTAGATACTGCCCCAACTAGAGAACAATTGGCAGCTTTGCAAAAGGAGAACAAAGAGACCTTTAAGCAATATGCCCAAAGATGGAGAGCTCTTGCTGCACAAGTCCAACCTCCGCTGACACTATCTGAGATGTGTTCATATTTCCTAGGGACTTTAGGAGCTCCATATGTTGGGTCAATGGCCGGTGCTGCATATCGGGATTTTGCTGATCTCATAGCTGCAGGTGAAAGAATTGAAATTTTAGCCAAAGCTGGGAAGTTGCCAATGGACTATAGACAGAGTAGTCCTCCCAAAAAAGGATTGCAACCTAAGAAACGAGAATCCGAAGTGAACCATGTCAGGCATCAGCAATCTTTTATGCCTCGACATCCTACACCAAACCCAAGCCACCAAATACTATCATACAATCCCTTTCCATTTACATCTTACCAAACCCCCACACAAAACTTCCCAAACTTAAACGCTGCACCAACCCCACAATTCCAAGTCAACAACATACCAATGACACCACGGTATGCACCAACTCGTCCGTCTTATGCACCTCATCCCACACGTCCACAGTATCGTCCAAATCACGCTCAACCACATCAAAACTCCCAAAATCAAAGTCTTCCACCTTTCCCTAAACTATCCATTTCTAATGCTGATTTGTTCCAACGACTGTTTGACGCTCACTTAATCTCAGAAAGTCCCGTACGTCCAATGCAACCCCCATTCCCAGCTTGGTATAATCCAAATTCTACTTGTAGATATCATATGGGAGTTGCTGGACATTCCATTGAAGATTGTGAAGCATTTAAAACAGCAGTAAGGAAACTGATTGCTTGTGGTAGGCTCGACATCCAAGAAGAGACCGGGCCTAATATTGTCAATAACCCCATCCCGAATCATGGGGGAAAGAATCAAGTGAATGCTGTGGAAATAGAGAATGCAGCGATCAAGAAGGTTTTGAGTTTGCATACACCCATGTCAGATATATGGGAAGGATTGAAGAAAGCTGGTTATGATATCACGGTACCAGGATGTTCAATGAAGGATGAAGAAAAGTATGATATAGAGTCGAGTTGTGCCTATCATAGCGGGCACGTGGGACATGATACTGAAAATTGTTGGGATTTCAAGGTCCGTGTCCAAGGCTTGATTACATTGGGTGTCATACGGGCCAGGCGAAAGGATACTTTTTCTGAAGAAGTTAGTGTGGTAGAGCGCTTCATACTTCGAGTGCCACCCCTTAACCAAAATCCTTTGCCTGAAAAGATGGTAATGAAGGTGAAGAAACCAGCGCCTTTTCCTTACGATGATACTCATGCAATACCGTGGAACTACAAGACAAGCGTTGAAGAAATTGGGAGTGCTTCGAGAGCCCATACTGACAACCCTCATTTGGAGGAGGAATCAACGGATGCAATAAGAGTCGGGGAAATCACAAGGAGCGGGAGATTTTATGGCCCTAAAGAACCAGAAAAGAGAAAAAGTAACAAGGAGGATGAAGCTGAAGAAATCATCGCCAGTGAAATGAAAGGTAAAGGAGAGGAAGATGAGCTTTTGAAGATCATGAAGCAAAGTGAATATGATGTAATGGAACAGTTGAAGAAAACTCCAGCTAGGATATCACTTCTATCACTAATCCTCTCATCAGAATCTCATCGAAAAGCACTCATGAGTATGTTGAGTGAGGCTTATGTCAAGTCAGATGTTACTCCTGAAAATGTGGTCAACATGGTAGATCCAGTGAAGCATGTTAACATGATCACGTTCTCAATTGACGAAATCGTTTGTCCATATGAGAAGACCTCGAGAGCTCTGCATATAACTTTGAAATGTAGAGGGTATATTATAGCCAAGGTTTTGATTGACGGAGGATCAGCACTAAATGTCCTACCCCTGTCAACTTTGTCTCAGCTATCAATGAGCACGAATGATCTAACCCCTCAAGAGATGATTGTGCGAGCTTTTGATGGTACAAAGAGAGGAATTCTAGGGGAGATAGTTTTACCCTTAGAGATAGGCCCGAGTAATTTTCAGGTTTTATTCCAAACCATGGATATTGAACCTGCCTATACCATGCTCTTGGGTAGACCTTGGATCCATGCAGCAGGTGCTGTGCCTTCTACCCTGCATCAAAAGGTCAAATATATCGAGAATGAGACGATTGTCACCATCCATGGAGAAGAAGAAATCATGGTTTCGAAACCAGTCTCAGTACCGTATGTTGAAAACACAGACTCGGTAGAAGGGAATGGATTGCATAGTTTCGAAGTTGTTGAATCTAGTTGCAAAAAAGATGCATCACTGGGGCAAAGTGTGAATGAGATAATCGCTCGAATTATGGCCAAGAGTGGATATAAGGTGGGTAAAGGTTTGGGCTCGCAGCTGCAAGGTAGCCGGTCACCTGTAATGATTCCAGAAAAGTCAAATAGATTTGGGTTAGGTTATGAAGGGTCGTTTGAAGAAGAAGTTGGGAGTATGTCTTTGGGAAAAAGAGGCAAGAAGGGCAAGACGCAACAGATTCCCCATCTAAGAGAAACATTCCCGGTGCCAGCAGAGATTATTATGCCTGAAGAGATCGTTCATCTTCCATGCCGCCTCCATATCAATGCACTAGATGACGAAGACCTAGGAGGATGCAGCACAATTCGTCCGTCCACTAATGATGAAGCATTGAAGAATTGGCAGACAGAGCCCGTTATTGATGTGATTGCTATAAAGTAATTGTCTAGTTGATTTGTATTAGCAGCTGTTTGAGCCATTTTGAAACTTATGTTATGTTGCTCGAGACATTAATTAAGTAAATGAATTTGCATGAGTTTTCAGTAATTTTCATTATTCTTCGTCCAATTTGGTTTTTCATTTTAGATTCTTTAACCAGCGTTATTATTATTTTCCTTCTCTCGTCCATCCTTTCACTATTCCTTGTGTTCTTACTTTTGTGACATTATATCTGTTGTATTCCAACTCCACGTAAATTAATTTCCAGGAATCTTGATCTCATTGAAACTTTGCCTCACGAAAGGGACCTTGAAAACTCACCGATTGATCCCTTTATGGCTATCAATGAAGAGGATCCAGAGTCTGATGAGGAGCAAATAGTAGAAAAACTTTCAAAGTTGTTGGAAGGCTCCGAAAAGGAATTTGACTTGAATGATCAGGCGTTTGAGTTGATTAATATGGGCACTGAGGAAGAGAAGAAAGAATTGAAAATTGTTGATAATCCCGAGAGGGAAGAGATGATTCAATTATTCAAAGAGTATCTAGATGTCTTTGCATGGACTTATCGAGATATGCCTGGAGTAGATCCAAGGATTGCATCACATAAAATTCCCTTGTACCCAGATGCTGAACCAAAAAAGCAGAAGTTAAGGAGGATGCGTCCAGATATATCCCTGAAAATTAAAGAAGAGGTGACAAAGCTGTTGGAGGCTGAATTTATAGAAGTCTCAATATACCCAGATTGGGTAGCCAACGTAGTGCCTGTGCCTAAAAAGGATGGAAAAATCCGGGTGTGTGTAGACTACAGGGATTTAAATAAAGCTTGTCCGAAGGACGATTTCCCACTTCCTCATATTGATGTGCTTGTTGATAATACGGCCAAGTATCATACATTCTCATTCATGGATGGATATTCGGGGTATAATCAAATCCTCATGGATGTCGATGATAAAGAAAAAACTGCTTTTATTACTCCTTGGGGGACATTTCGTTATAGAGTGATGTCATTTGGACTAAAGAATGCAGGAGCTACTTATCAGCGCGCTATGGTTGCATTATTCCACGACATGATGCACAAGGAGATTGAAGTATATGTGGATGACATAGTTGCTAAGTCAAGAGAAGGGGAAAGTCATGTGACAGTCCTGCAAAAGTTGTTCGAACGACTCCGGAAGTACAAGTTGAGATTGAACCCTAGCAAATGTGTTTTTGGCGCATCCTCAGGAAAATTGCTCGGTTTTATTGTTAGTAGAGAAGGAATACAGGTGGATCCGGAAAAAGCAAAAGCAATACGAGATATGCCTGCCCCTAAATCAGAGCGAGATGTGAGAAGCTTCTTGGGACGACTTAATTATATTGCTAGATTCATTGCAAACTTAACTAGCACTTGTGAGCCTATCTTTAAGCTATTGAGGAAGAACCAACCAGGGAAGTGGGATGAAGATTGCCAAAAGGCGTTCGACAGAATAAAAGCTTACTTATTGAATCCCCCTATCTTGGTACCGCCAACACCAGGTCGCCCTTTGATTTTGTATTTGACTGTGCTGCCTACCTCCATGGGAGCAATGTTGGGGCAACGTGATGAGTCAGATAGGAAAGAGCAAGCTGTGTACTACATTAGCAAGAAGTTCAATGAATGTGAGGTTCGTTACATGGCAATCGAGAAAACGTGTAGTGCTCTAGTGTGGAGCTCAAAAAGACTACGACAATACATGTTGTATTACACCACTTGGTTGATATCTCGAATAGATCCCTTGAAGTATATATTTGAAAGCCCTCATATTTCTTTGAAGGTCTCAAAATGGCAGATGATATTGTCAGAATTTGACATCCAATACGTAACTCGGAAGTCGATCAAGGGAAGCGCAATTGCAGACCACCTAGCTGAAAATCCCCTCGAAGACGACCAATCAATGCAAATTGAAATTCCAGGCGGGGAAATATTGGCAGTAGAAGAAGATGAGATTGAGGAAAGTGCATGGAAAATGTATTTTGATGGGGCAGTTAATATGCACGGCAGTGGCGTAGGAGCAGTAGTCATTTCACCAACTGGCAAACAATACCCAGTGGCCATCAAGTTGGGCTTTGAATGCACCAATAACATTGCAGAATATGAGGCTTGTGCAAGCGGTTTGCGTCTTGCAATCGATTTAGGAGTAAAACAGTTGGAAGTATTTGGGGATGCAGCGCTTATCATTTACCAAGTGAATGGCGAGTGGCAGACCAAAGACGTGAAGTTAGTGCCCTACCAAAAGTACTTGACTCGTTTGATTGCAGAATTTGAAGAAATAGAATTCTCGCATTTAACTAGAGACAAGAATCGATTTGCAGATGCCCTAGCCACGTTGGCTGCGATGACCAAGCTGGATATCCATAGTGATGTCCAACCCATCCAAGTTGAGAAGAGAGATGAACCATCTTACTGTGCCAGTGTGGAGGAGGGGCCAGATGGTAAACCTTGGTATTTTGATATCAAACAGTATATTCAGCATAGAGAGTACCCAACTGGGGCAAACGAAACCCATAGAAAGACCGTTCGCCGGTTATCGATGGCTTTTTTCTTGAATGGAGAAGTTTTGTACAAGAGAAGTCATGATGGCACCCTTTTAAGATGCGTAGATGCTCGTGAAGCTCATTCAATCATGATTGATGTCCATGAGGGAATTTGTGGGACTCATGCCAACGGACATATGATGACGCGCAAGATTATGAGAAGTGGATATTACTGGTCCACCATGGAGGCAGATTGCGTAGGATATGTTCGAAAGTGCCAAAAGTGTCAAATGTACGCAGATCGTATCAATTCACCGCCTTTTCCACTACACAATATGGTGTCTCCTTGGCCGTTCTCAATGTGGGGAATAGATGTTATTGGCCTAATCAATCCAAAGGCCTCGAATGGGCACCGTTTCATCCTGGTAGCAATAGATTATTTTACCAAGTGGATAGAAGCCTCATCATATGCCAACATTTCACAAAAGGTGTTTGTCAAGTTTCTCAAAAGGGATATTATTTGCAGATATGGAGTTCCAGAAAGAATAATCACAGATAATGCTCCTAATCTTAACGGCGCAGAAGTACAAAAGTTATGTGGACATTTCAAGATCAAGCATCACAACTCAGCTCCTTATAGACCTCAGATGAATGGTGCAGTTGAAGCAGCCAATAAGAATATCAAAAAGATCATTGCCAAGATGGTTGTGAGTTATAAAGATTGGCATGAGATGTTACCCTATGCTTTACATGCGTATCGTACTAACATACGTACGAGCACTGGAGAAACACCTTTCTCCTTGGTATATGGAATGGAGGCCGTCTCTCCGATAGAAGTTGAAATTCCTTCATTGAGGGTTTTGATGGAGGCAGAATTGGAAGAGTCTGAGTGGGTGAAAGCACGATATGAACAACTGAACATGATTGAAGAGAAAAGATTGACAGCTCTTTGTCACGGGCAGCTATATCAGAGCAGAATGGCTAAAGCCTTTAAAAAGAAAGTCCGGCCAAGGGAATTTCGATCAGGTGATCTGGTCTTAAAGAAAATCTTTCCTAATCAAGAGGATGCTAGAGGAAAATGGGCTCCAAATTATGATGGCCCTTATGTGGTCAAACATGCTTTTTCTGGGGGAGCGTTAATTCTACAAGATATGGAAGGGCAGGAGTTACGAAGACCAATAAATACTGACGCTGTCAAAAGATTCTATGCCTAACAACAACAAAAAGGAAAAAGGAAAAAAGAAAAATAGAGAAGCATGTTAGATTGAAAACCCGAAAGGGCGATCTAAGCAAAAATCGAGGCAGATAAAAAGAAATCTGTTAAGCTGATGGCTCAACAAGGTCACCTAAGCAAAAGTTATGGCAAACAAAAAACAGTTAGGTTGAAAACCTGCAGGGGCAACTTGGACATTAAGGACCCAAACTTAAACCGCCCAAGATTTTTGGAGAAAGTAACACACACTGGGGCAAGATTGTGAGACTGCTAGAAAGCTGAAGGGAATCAATTCAATGAATGACAAGGGACTGATACTGGGGCAATTTTTCCATGAGATCTCAAAATTCCTTTCATCCTTTTCCATTTTCTTTTCGTGCCTAATATCTCCTCTCACAAAGGTTTCATGTACAATCAACTTTCATATCAATGGACCAGTTGGTTAAGATTTCTCTACCCATATCCAGTTGGTTTGTATACCCATATCCAGTTGGTTGCTATTTGTATACCCAATGTTTATTTTGTCTTTAAACCCATATCCAGTCGGTTAAGATTTCTCTTTTCTATTTGTATACCCATATCCAGTTGGTTGCGAATGTTTATCTTTAAACCCATATCCAGTCGGTTAAGATTTCTCTTTCTATTTGTATACCCATATCC